GAATATGGTTTTAAAAGCACCATGGTGCTGGGGCTAGCGCTGGAGCTGGAGCTGAGTGGCACAGCACCTGCCTAGCATGTGTGAGGCACTGGGTTCGATCCTCAGCACCACATAAATAAATAAAACAAAGGTATTGTGTCCATCTACAACTTAAAAAAAAAGCACCATGGTATCAGTTATGTTTTATTTTATACATAACAAAAAAATATGCCATAGGACAATTTGTAAGAGTATAATTCAGTGTCACTAAGGACATGTACCATGTGTGCAAACATCCCGTCTACTTCCAAAACTTCTCTGTGACCCTCAAACAGAAACTGTGCCCACTCAACAATAACTCCCCCGCCTCTCAGCCCCGAGTAAGCTCCCGTCTATTTTTTGTCTCTAAGGGGTTACCTATTTTAGATATTTCATATAAATGGAGTCGCACAATATCTGACCTTGTGCGTTTGGCTTCACTTGTTCGCTCAGCAGCATTTTTGAGGTTCACGTGCATTTGATTCCTCTTCATGGCCCAATGACCTCCCACACCACGTTTTTGTTTTGTTTTCCCATCTATCCTTTGATGGACACTTCTTGTCTCTACCTTCTGGTTACCATGAATAATGCTGCCCTGGTCTACAAATACCTGTTTGAATACTTCGTTTCAATTCTTTGGGGTGTATACCTAGCAGTGAATTGCTAGCTCATGTGGTAATTCTAGAGTTTTTTTTAATGAAGTACCAAACTGATTTCCGTAGCAGCCACACCACTGAACGGTGCGACCAGCAAGGTACATGGGCTCCAGTTTTCTTCTCTTTCCAATGGTATTTAGTTCCTTTGGGGCTTTAGTCTCACTTTATTTCATTCTTATAAGCTTGCTTAAACCATTCTTTTCTAAGTCGTAATGATTTTTAAAAATCAGAATTCCAGACTTCTCTCACACTCAACCATGACGTGCTGTGTGACAGTGTATGGATTTCACCTTTCCCTTCCACGAGCAATCAGATACCTACATTGGAATTCCACCTTCCTCCTCCCAGCTGTGTGCTCTTTCGGCTGAGAAAATCAGTGCTTTAGTTTACTATGTTTGTGGTAACAAATTACCACAAATTTAGTGACTTAAAACCACAGAAATTTATGATAACTGTGGAAATCAGAACTGACATGGGTCTCATGGCTGGAATCCACTGGAGGCTTTGGGGAGAAGTGGTTTCTTGCCTTTTCCACCTAGAGACTGCCTTGACTTGCAGCCCCATCTCTATCTTCAAAGCCTGCCAAGGCTGGATAAGTCTTACTTCACATTACCCAACACTGATAATCTTGCTTCCCTCTTCTATATTTTTTGGGGGAGGGGTACCATGGATTGAACTCAGGCACTCAACCACTGAGCCACATCCCCAGCTCTCTTTTGTATTTTATTTAGAGACAGGGTCTCACTGAGTTGCTTAGCGCCTTGTTGTTGCTGAGGCTGGCTTTGAACTCATGATCCTCCTGTCTCAGCTGGGATTATAGGCGTGCACCACGCACCCAGCTCCCTCTTCTACTTTTAAGGACAGTTTACATTGGGCCCGTAATCTCCTACTTACAGGTCAGCTCACTAGCAACCTAAAAGCCCTCTTGCCATGTAACCAAACATATTTAAGATCTACTCCTGAAGACTGAAATTTATTTAAAAGGTACCTCCACTCAGGCATTCAGCAAACACATATCAAGTCTTGAGTTAATGAAAAGTATATGAAATACTTTTGAGTCTGACACCCCGTAAGCAATCAATCAATGTCACCCATTATCATATATCTATTATAGGCTCTTTTGGCAACATGGTCCTAGCCTCAAGAATTCACTCCTTAGTCTGCATTTTTGGAGATCTGTGCCTCTAAAATCCAGGGGAATGCTGCTTTCCTTTCCAACTATAAGTCTACCATGACTCCCCCAGGGTCCCAGAGCACCATCCTGTCTTCTGTGTTAAGCCAGAAGAGCAGCAGCCCCCGCCTCATGACTTCCCCTACCTGCTAATGACAAAAAACACCTACAGGGCCAGTCATGGGCTCATCACTCCCTTGGGCTGTAATGGTGGAGGCTGTGTCTGGCCTGAGACCTGGGTCAGGGAATGGTCCTTCTTAGCCAGTGGCCTGCAGCACAACTCCCAGTCGCTCTCAGCTTGCTTCCTCGGCACTCTCCAGGCCCCAAGGTTTATTCCTCAACAGCTGCTTGGACATTATTGGCCATGCAGTCTACTTGGGAATTTTTTTTTTTTTTTTTTTTTTTTTTTTTGCTTTTTCCATGCTACTAGTATTGTCTTTCATCCTATCTGGTTCTCCGTTTGAGGATATCTATCTATCCTCTTCTCCTATCTCAAAACTGCTTTTCAAATTCTTGCTTAGGTCAGAGTCTCACCACAAAGCTGTCGCTCACTTTGTGAGCTGCTCTCTGGTCCTCGCTATGAGGAGGGACCCAAGTCTTCCTCAAGACTGGGCCTCTACCACACGGTCAGTGGATCTGGGGACAAGGGAGGGAGCCTCAACACCAGGGTCTTCAGTGAGGAAGAGTGACTGGGCCCGGGGTCTGCCCTGCTAGGAGGCTAGGCTGGGTTGTGCTAGATGTAAGTCACCAGGAAGTGGCTCACCGCTGGAGAGGAGAGGACTGGAGCAGTGACTGAGAATGTTGGGGTTGGAGGAACCTGGGCAGCTGTGCACCTGCCACTCCTGAGGTGGGGCCAGAGACCCCTACCATGAGCACCACCAGGACCCCTCCTCCCACCACCACTGGGGCTGCAGCTCCTCCAAGTAGCACACCCCCCCCCCACCAGGAGCCCCCCTCTGCTCCCACAGTGCTCTGCTTCGCTTTCTCCAAAGCTGGGTCACAGCCTCTCATTCATCGGCTCCTAACCACAATTTCCTCCTGTCACCTCAGAAATCCTATTTTCTTCCTGGCTTCCTCCCAGGTTCTGAGGACAATCCATCCTTGCTAATAAATCTGAGGGAGGAAGGCAAGGCCCTCCAAAACATGAGGCCCTTTCACGTTCTGTTGGCACTGGAAGGGCAGCTCTCACCTGGGCAGGTACGGCCTACAGAGGCCTGTGGTCCTCACAGCTCTTGTTCCTGCCCTCGCTTCCAGTCCGTGCGTCCTGGGTAGGCCAAGAGACCCTTGACAACCCCTCCAATCCCCCCGGCTAAACTTCCAGCCACTGGGGTCTCTCCTGTAGATGCCGCTTGTAGGTCAAGGGTACATGGGGAGGTGGCTCCAATAATGTCCTTTGGAAATCCCGTGAATCCAAATCTTTTATGAACTACATCCTCTCACTATCTAACCATGCCAGGGAATTATCTGAGATGAATGCACTTAGCCAGATGAATGCACTTTGTGCCAGCCTCAAGAGGCAGAATACTGTTCATTTGGCCCATTTTGTTGGCTTTGTCATTGATTTTATTTAGGAATTAAATCCTTTCCAAGCTTATGCTAAGGTGAAAGAGATGATGGGAGAAAAAACACAAATGTAAATAAGTGACAGTTATGCTAAACATACTCGAAGAAAAAGAGATCGTGGTTAAATGAATAGAGTACAATAATTGTAAGTGACAGTATGTGTAAGGGTGAGAGGAAATTTGTTTAAGTATTCCAATGAAAAAATAACAGTTGAGTAAATTTTAACTAAAAGCTCTGTACTCAACATATGAACATATAGCAACTTCATTTTGTTGTTCTAAAACCATTTCAAAAACCATTTCAACTATTTTAAAATTAGGTTCCCTATCTTGATGAGGCTTAAAAATTAGATATAAATAACTCCAAGAAAATAAACTGTAAAAACCACAGTCGTTAGTGTTATTAAGTAGGTTGTAAACTGTATTTTTCAACAACCAAATTATAGGAATTCTGGAATTGAAGGAGCCTCACTGAAAGCCAGTTTAGCAATTTTCATTTTTTGTAAGTACTGGAGGACATTAGTAGGGCACATATGGTCTTCTAGAAATTAGCAGATCAAATAAAATGGGCCAGGTGTGGTGGCACACACCTCTAAACCCAGCAACTCAGGAGGCTGACGCAGGAGGATCGACAATTCAAGGCCAGCCTCACCAACTTAGTAAGGCCCTAAGCAACTCAGTGAGACCCTGTCTCTAAATAAAGTGGAAAAAAAAAAAAAAGGGCTGGGGATGTGGCTCAGTGGTTGAGTGCCCCTGGGTTCAATCCCCCTTATACCACCACTACCCCTCAAAATAAATGATGATCTGCAGCAGGACACTTCTGGTCTGGGTCAGAATCTCTAACTCACCCACTCTAGCCAGCAGGGAGGAGCTGTCCCTGAGGGTTACAGAGCATCAGAGGATCCAGAAACCAGGAGCCTGATTCCCACCACTGGGCTGGGATGAATGCACTTAGCCATGCGATCATAAGCATGCTGGCAATGACGATTCTATTTGTCATCAGGAGAGTTTTGAATCTCAAGGCCATATAAGTTTCAATTACAATAATTTTTATTTAATAATGCTTTTCAAAGGAAGTACCCAAGAGCTGGAGAAACACCTATGTCAGAGGTCAACTGGCCCAGGAATCTGAACCAGCCCTGAAGAAGAATCTGTTGGCAGAGCCTTGGTTCTGTCTTCCTAAAGAGAGCTGAAGCCAGAGTCAGCCAGAACCAAAGCCAAGAGCTAGAGCCAAGTACAGGAGCAGATCTGGCATTGACCACCGCATACAGTGGTGGTAAAAAAAAAAAAAAAAATGAAAATAAAACCAACAAAGCAGGGAGAGAAAACCTGTTTTTCTGTTCAAAGTGTTTTATAAAAATATTATGTATTGCTCTAAAAAAATCGAATTTTTGCTGGTCTAAGCCTCCCGCCAAGATTCCTTTTGGTGATTCTGGAAGGAGTGGGTAGAGATCATCTGGAGGGGGCAGGGTCCCCTGAGATCCCTTTCATCCTAAAAGTGTAGGCTTAGCCTTGTTCAGCTCTGGCCATGAAAATGGTTCCCCCTCCAACCCCACCCCCGCCAGGCAAGGCGGCTTTGGGTTCAGGTGGTACCTGCCATTCCTGGTATCGTGTTGCCGCATGTTCTTGATAAAATGAATCTTCTTAAAATTCTTTGGTCTGGGCGAACCTGAGAGAGTTCTACATCTGAAAAATAAAGTGGTTTCAAAAACAGAGTCAGTTGCCGCTGGACAGCTGAGACATCTCCACACAAAGACAGGAAGGAAAGACCAGACAAATGGTTTGAGTCACCCCCAGGCAGGCAGGAGTCGCTGGGATAATGAAGACAATACGGCTAGAAGCAAGGAAGTTTAAAAAAAAAAAAAACCCAATGACAGACAACTTCCTTGATAATACCGATAATATTTTATATGCGTCTCCAAAAGCTGGCTAATGAAAACTACAGTCTACAGTTATCATACCATAGTCTACACAGATTCCAAAGACATTATTCTTTATTGTCATTAAAAAAAAATCCTCCTGCATCAACACAGGTAAAGGAAAGAGAAAGTTACAAATTTAAAGGCTCTGGGGCTAGAGCAATAACATGGGAAATTCAGTTTCAAAACAATCCTGAATCATTTTGCTTCCAAAGCACAATTTTGGCCTGACTTGCCTGGACGGTTGCCTCAACTCCAACTTGACCATGCTTTTAATGTGAAGAAGAATCAACCCAGCTAGTGTGTTTTATCTTTTATTTATTTATTTTTTGCTTTAAGGTAAATTTTAAATAAATATCTACTGAATCAAAGTGACCTGGATTCAAATTTTCTCCCCCACCCCGAAATATATGACATTCACTGTACTGCAAGTCTAAAGGCCATATAGATCTTATTTTTCTATACAATATGTTCAAAGTTACCTGGGAAATTCTAAGTTACAAAACTAACATCATCATCACCACCACCAAAGCAAAAAGCCCAATAAGTGAGAATTTGGTCTTTTCTTGACAAAGGGAGCTACGACTTTTCTGGGTACCCCCCCCCCACCCCCGCAACACCACACACCAAAAATCCTTTTTGACCATCGGCTCCAAGAGCTGGCTTCTGCTGTGGGGCACAGGTGCCCGTGACCTTGTTTCAGAAAGCAAGTTTGGGAAAGCAGTGCCCAGCTTCACAAAGGCCAAGCAGAGATCTGGGCTGGGACCTCATCTGAATTCAATCAGTTCTTACTAATAGGCTTCAGGCAAAGGAGTAAGATCAAGACCCAACAGGAAGTGACCGTGTGAGGGGCAGGTATAGGAAGTAGGCTGGGGAACTGGTAGGATTACAGGCCTGTAGGGCAATCCCCATCTTTACTGTCTCCCAGGAATATCTCCAGGGAGGTCACGCCTGGCGCATCTTCCACCCACCCTGACCTACACTTCTAACAAGGGCTAGTACTTCTGGGAGACCTTTCTCATAGTGCAGAATGCTATTTTCCCTCCTTAAGAAACAGCACCTTAAAATGTAATTTAACTTGCAAAAATACCTTTGAATAAGTCAGTGTGACCAAAGCAAAGGGATATACACTATCAGATATTTCTTGGCCAAGGGCCTTCCATGGGCTGTGGATCCAGAGGAGGACAGCCCCACGTCTGATCATCATCTACTCCCTTGGAGCCAGAAGCTTTGGCAAAGACCACATCCTCCCAACCTCCACCATGAACTCACCACCGTGAGTTCTGACCCATGACCATTTGAGTGTGCAAGTCACTTAAAGTTTCCACTGTGTCAGACACAGAAGGTTCTAGAAATATGGGATTGCTGAACAGAAGAAAATCTCTGAAAACCTAAAGGAAGGTATGGCTCCAGGGGTTTCTAGATAGGGCCAAGGGCTCATAAGTGTCTTACTTTTACCTCACTCTACCCGCAAAAGCAGAGTTCTGGGCCAGCTAGTCTGAGGGTGGTGGGGTCAAGAGATCAATAGTGCAGTCCGCTCACTGATCCTGCCACCTTAACAAACTCTAGCACCTTCCTCCTCCCACCTCCGGGAAGCAGGAACTGGTGCCAGCCCATAGGAGGAAATCCTAGCTGCTCCCCATCTCCAGGAAGAGGAGCACCAAATTCCAGGAAGTCAGCAATAAGGCCACCAGAGGTAGCTGTCCATGCCAGCTCAGCAAGGCGGCAGTGGCAGTAAGAACTTCAACAGCAGAAGCCACCAGCACCTATCAACAGGATAACTCAATAAAAGTCCTGTTTTTCCATATCAGCTCCCCTTTCTAACTATATACCCTCCTAATCTAGCTCTTCATTCAGCAAGCTGTTTGTTGTCTTGCCTTTTTAAAGCACTCAACTAAACCACCAGGGAACCTAAGCGATGCTTTAAGAGAATTGTGGCATTAGCAACAACTGCCAAGGAAACAGGGATACCGAGTGCGCCGGTTGCAGCAGGTTAAGCAAAGAACAAATTAATTTCAAAGCCGCCTGCATTAATCTGTAAATATCCATTTAAAACCATACATTTTAAGTGATGCAAAATTAAAGTAGGATAGAATTAAATTAAAAACTAATTTAATGAAAGATTAGCTCTTTCTTGTTAGCACTGATTATAGGATACACTTAATGATGCAAAAGTTTTAATAGATGCCTTGGAGCCATTTGTTTTATGTGCTAAGCTTAAAAGCAAGTGGGGCTAAAAAGCCTTCCACCCCCACAGTTCCCAAAACATTTTGATGTCATTACTGGTCCTTTCCTATCACAGACTGGAAAGACCCTCAGAGATCAGCCCACTCAGCTCTCCCATTTTACAGATGGGAAAACCAAGGCCCCAGAGACACTAATGAGGTTGCAAGGCCACATAACCAGTTACAATAGTCAGGCCAATCTCTCAGCACCCCAGATCCCGAAATAAAGGACCCTTCTTCTACACTGTGTTAATTTTTATTTCCTAGGAGCAAGTACATTTCTAAGTTAAGTATGAGAAATATTTTTTTAATTAAAAAAGTCCATTTGGGAAAATAAAGACTTGTAAAACTGCTGATTTCTGATTGTTTTAAATGGTTTACACTTATACAAAACTGGTTTGAATTTTTCATCACTACATTCTGTAAGTGAAAGTTCAATGAAGTCATAGTTAAGGTAGATAAGCCACTTTTTTACTCAGCTCCTTTGCCAGTCTAGACAGATTCTGAGAGGAGGGTTCCAGGATATAGACCATGAACACAGCACCCAGGTTCCCCTCCTAGGCTCCTGGAGACTCAGTGTCACCTGTGTTCAGAGGCACAGTGGCCCTGTCATGGAACCCTGGGGAGAAAGAACTTTCAGGCGCCTGTACACCGAGTGTCCTGCTCACAGCTGCCACACAGTTCTGAAAACTGAAGCTTCTAGCAGCCTCTTAAAGCACCAGGGCCCTTTTTTAGCTTTCTTCACTGATTTCCCCATTTGTAGCAGGGGGAGAAGGAGCCTTGGTCAGAGGTGACCACACTGCTCTAAGGCCAAAGCCACTTGCAGCCACCTGAAGACATTGCTCCTCCATGCTTAGCAATTATCTGGACCAAAGCTAGTTTCCCACCTTGACTTTTAATGCAGGTCACTGAAAAGTTCCTTCGGGAAACAGCCCCCTCCCATGATTCAACGGTGGCTTGCAGGAGGCTCGTGACCAAGTTGCGTACTCTCCATCACAGCGGCTCCACGCTGTTCAATCTCCCGTGCTTTAGGCTGCACTTTATTTTCAAAGACTTCAAAAGTGGTGATGAGACTTTTGTGGCTTTGGCTTTTTTTCCTCTTTGGGATGATGTCAGTGACCAGATTCACAGTCACATGCCACTTTCAATTAGAGCCTTGGCCAGTCTGGGCTTACCCTGCCCTCTACTTCTCTCGTGGTTGGGACCTGTGGATACCACCTCCAGCCTGGGAGTGGGACAAGGAGCTGTCTCTAGGGTAAGACACTGCCCTCCACAGCAGCACCTCCCAGGCTCAGGGGGGAAGTCCGGGGACTTCCAAGTCCTGACCAGCAGCCAAGGCACATGGAGTACAGATGCAGGTTCAAGGAGGAATGGATGCAAGTTCATGGGAGGTCAAGGGGGCTGGGGTTCCTGCTCACTGGCTGCCTTGTGGTCCCTGTGAAGGAAGCCCTAGAGTTCCATCTTGCCTCAGCCTCTTCTGCAGGGTTGAGCCCCCCTTCCTCACCCCACGCTACTGCCCCCATCCAGATGAGGGCTGCAGAGGTCAGTATTTTCTCCATGGAGAGGGCCTGGTTGGGCCTCTGTATGGGGGTCGGTCAACAGAGAAAGCAAGAGTAGAGGAGGGGTAAGTCACAGGTACCGCAGAGCTCAGCAACCGCCGTCACCCAAAAAAGATGCCTCACCAGCACTTTCCTAATCTCAAGGGGAAAATGGAATGCTTTCAGACCCAAGGGAGCTCTTCAAACTGTCCTAATTGGGTTTCCCCAGCAACCAGCCAGGGAGTGATGTCATAGTGCCCTCCTAAGGAGTTCTGGTTGTCCCTTCTTGCTAAGAATGAAGTTTCAAGACTATGACGATTGTGTAATTATACCCAGGACAATACCGGGCTCTTCTATAAAGTAGCAGCTTTCAAAACGAAAAGGTTGGCGATTCACTCAGAGATGGAGCATGCACAAGCCCTTGGGTTCAATCCCCAGCACTGAACAGAGAAGAAAACAAAGGGGGGGGGGCGGCAGGGGGCAGGGGTGGGGACCACAAGAGGAAAAGCACCCAAATTCACAGATTAACTAAGCTACTTGCATACACAATAGGGATTTTCTAGTTTTCCTAGTGCTGTGTCCTCAGGGTTGGGGCTCCATGTCAGATGGTCATTTTAAAATTTTAACTCTGTAGATCAAGAACTTTAAAAATAAATCAATCTTATACTGCCAGCCATTTATAAATACATAAATGAAACAGAAAAATTACCTCCGGAGAGGGGCATTCTCTTCAATATCTTCCAGGGTCTCCAACGATGATCTCTGGGAGATGAGGCGACGTCTGCAGAGAGGAGAAAAAAAACAAAAGTTAGGAGTTAAAATCGGGTTGTCAAGTTGATCAGACATGTCTGTAAACCTAAAACTGTCCTTAAAAATAAAGCATATAAATAAATAAATAAATAGACAGATAGATAGATAGAAAGAAAGAAAGCCCGTTGCCAGGCATGGTGGTGCATGTCTGTAATCCCAGTGGCTTGGGAGGCTGAGGCAGGAGGATCATGAGTTCAAACCCAGCCTCAGCTAAAGTGAGGTGCTATGCAACTCAGTGAGACCTTGTCAGAGTCTGTAAACAAGTCAGGATGGCGCCTGGCAAATGTCAGAGTCTGTATCGAGTTTATGCTAATTAAGATAAGCTGTGTGTAATGTATATAACCCCTCTTGTCCTACAATAAACGGCTCCCACTCCTGCTGTATCAACGAACACAAGTTGTTCGTCACCCCCCGGTTATTTTGCTGCAGCTGGACTGCGGCACCTGTCTCTAAATAAAATACAAAATAGGGCTGGGAATGTGGTTCAGTGGCTGAGTGCCGCTGAGTTTAGTCCCCTGTACCAAAAAATTAAAAATAAAGCCCGTTAAAAAAAAAAAAAAAAAGATTCGACAAAAGCTGTCTGTAAGAGGCTGCCCTGCTCTTACCCTGCATGGGGACCTCCACCTCCACCTTGTCTTGCTGCATCCTGAACATTCCCCCTCGGGATCGGGCCCTCTTTGTGGTGACTAAGAAAGTGATGTATCTTTTTAGGCTACGCTTTTCCCTAAAAGACAAGGTATCTCTTGTTACATGTAGTATAACTTGAGCACTGTGTGAAGGTTTTCTAAAACATTAGATAATACTGTTAAGTATGAAGTATCAGTGAACTGAACTGGAGAATGGATAAATCAATTTTCAAACCAGACTAAATAAAATCTCAAAATCATTAGAAAACAATTTAAAAAGTTGCTGTCTATGCAAGGCCTTGAATTCAAAAACAACCAGAAGCAAAGAAGAAATTCTTTTAAAGGAATTTCTCAGAGACCAGTAAGAATGAATATTCAGCATGATTATGTGTGACAATAACTTTTCTGGGCTGCTAAAGAATCACATACCACCTGCTAAAACCTCCTTAGTCTAGTTTCTTTTGCCAGGCTGAAATAAGAACAGGTCCTAGTTAACTAAGAATATCTAGTACAGGAGCAGGGCAGGCTGGTGGTAACTTTAAATAAATCCATTTGAACAAGGACCACTCATTTTATAGAAAATGATCTGCCTGGGGGGTGGAGGGGAGTGGATCGCAAGGCTTGACCAGGTCAAGCCTTTAAAAAGAAAATAGGACTAAAATTAAAAGTTAACTTTCTATTATGTTTGACAACTTTTAGGTTAAGAGCATGCAATCATAACTATGTTCTAGATTGTTCTGAAGAACAAAGAATGAAACACTTTGGGGCTTCTGTGTAAACTTCTTCTGAACAACTACCCTCAAAACCTTTTGCTTCATGTTTTACTTTTGGTAAGATAATCAGAAAGGTCATTTTTGCAAACTCTTCAAGGGCTACATCAATTTTCCAAGAGTCCTTCTTAATCTTTTGATATTCAAATCCTTTTTGAACTGCTCCTCACACACACTCCTCTTCCTTTTCTCTAGCTATACATGGGTCTGATTTCCTCAGATCCTCATCCATCAATATGTGAGCACCAAACAGTTCCCAACATCACTGGCATTGTCCCTGTAACACCCTGGACCTTCTGCAGGGTCCCCAGTTTCACTTTATAATTAACTAACACTGACTTTCCATTTCTACAATACTGCCCCAGTTTCCCCCAGTTAACCAGAGCTGCAGGGGAGACACTGGTCTTACCTGGAAATGAGGGAGGGAACCCAGGGGAAGGGTCAGTGCATTCCTCAGTAAGCAGGATTTCCCAGTGCAGCCCTGTAACTGTGGGGGGCTCAGCTCTCCAAGACCCCTGTGATAGCATCCTAGAGCTGTGGCTCTGAAGCACCTGCATTTTCAGTTCAAGCACAGCCTCTCTGAAATCTCAGTTAATCCTGGAGAAAGCAGGCAAGGGAGCCCCCGGGCTGACCAGGTGCTGGGTTTAGCTGGTATGCAGTCCCAAGCTGGGAATGGGTCATCATGCTCCTGCCACTGTGGCTCTCAGCTGCAGGCACCCTCCGTCCCCACAAGTCCCATCCACAGGTCTACATAACTCCACCAATGGTCATTCCTGGGTACTAAAGTTTGGGGACCTTAGAAAGCTGCTCCAGCCTCAGTTTCCTCATCTATAAAATGGGAAAATGAGAGTAAAAATCAAATACATGCAAAGTCCTTGACATTCAGAAATTCTAAATGAATATCGGGTGCACCCTGACCTGCATCCCAGTTCAGCTGACTAGGATCAGGAAGACTGTCCTAGCTTTGACCCTTCCCTCCAGTTCCAGAAAGTAGCAAGTAGAGTCACGTGCTCCTGCCACACTTTAATGTATAACCATGCTTGTCTACCACAGGATGCTCTGGGAAAGCTCCTATTATGTGTGCCTCCTCAACAATGAGAGAGTTAATGGTTTCAATGATATTTACTCTACCTCTGGAGAACACTGAATATTTTGAAATTAAAAGTGAAACATTGACCCAAGTATGCACACCTAAATCACCTTGGAGATAACGTAACTTCTGTAGGCAGAAACAAATATAGCTTCATGTGCTGGAAATCTCAACAAATTCACAAACTTTGAGCTTTCCTTTGTAGAGCACCTTTTTCAGGTTACCAGTAAATAGTCAACCGAATGTGCCACCAGGTGGCTACAGGGACCCTGAAGTTGAGGACTGCCCTCCTTCATCCACCCAGAGCAGGTCCTCTGGAGGGTCTGCAGTCAGCTGCTGGGTGGGAGACACAACCCAGGCCCCAGCAAAGTTCATCTTCCCCATGGAGCCATGACCACCCGGCTGCCCACCTGCTCAACCAGAACCTGGTGCACCTCGCCTGCTGTGACCCAGAGCTGCCCTGGCTTGGCTCCTGCCCTTGAGGGGCTCACATTCAAGTGGGAATCTGAAGGACCACCGAGAACTCCATCTGAATCTCTCAACCCCACCACCCTCTGGGGCTGCCTCCTGTGAGGGGCAGCCAGGAAAGCCCTCCAGCCCAATCCCACACAGGGGACACGCAGACTGGGGCCCTGTCCACCATTCAGAGCACGTATTCACCCTAGAAAAACAAGTCCTTTCACAGTAACCCTACCAGCAAGCTCTTCTCACACTGGAAAAGAAAATTGTTTATCTGGAAAATAATCAAATTAGAATAGATATATTCTTATAACTGTATAGAAAGACTAATAAGTACTTTTTTTTTTGGTAGTACTGGAAACTGAACTTGGGGCTTTGCACATGCTAGGTATGTGCTCTAACACTGAGCTGCCTTTTGTCCCTCATTTTGAGACAGGGTCTCTCTAAGTTGCCCAGACTAGCCTTAGACTTGCAATCCTCCTGCCTCAGCCTCCCGAGTAGCTGGGTTTTCAGGCATGCACCACTATGTCCAGTAAGAACATTTTTCGAAGAAAAGTACTAATATTGTCCTCATGAGTTGAACATGTATAGATTCACACACGCGTTGCTACAGACTAAACATACCCTCCCTTCCTAAAACTCATGTTGAAATCCTAGCATCCAATGTGATAGTATTAGAAGTGGGGTCTGTAAGAAGTAATAGAGGGGCTGGGGTTGTGGCTCAGTGGTAGGGTGCTTGCCTAGCATGCGAGATGCCGCGAGTTCGATCCCCAGCACCACATAAAAATAATAAAATAAAGGTATTGTGTCCAATATTTTTAAAAAGAAGTAATTAGATTAGATGTGTGGAATTAATGTCTCTATAAATGGGATCCCAGAGAGCTCTCAGCTCCCAAGGAGGAGTGAAAACACAAGAAGCCAGTTGTCTGTTACCTAGAAGAGGCCCTCACACTAGCCCCACACTACCCTGGCACCCGGATCCCAGACTTCCAGCCTCTTGAACTATGAGAAAATTAATCTATATTAATATAAGCCACTCAGGCTATATCCTTTGAGATGGAGCTAGAGCTCAATAAGGACCACCACAGTCATTACAAAGACACTGTCATGTGGCATGTGATACCTGCCCTTCCTACGATGACCTGTGCATTGCCACAAGGGCAGGCCTTTGGACTGGTACCTCAATAGTGCTCATTACCACCTTGCTAGATCCTTCCAGGATATCCAGTAATGTCTTCCACCTCCCTTTCTGTCCTTAGGGAGCCCACAATGGATGGGGTGGCTAAGGGCAGGCAGCCAACCTTAACCAGTCACTTTTCACCCTACAATTTGCCCCCATGGGCTAAACGCATCACCATATCATCTCCTTATCATAAGGCATAGTTAATAAGCAGAGGTCTCTGCATAATTTAATGACTAATAAAGAATACCTAGCCATGATCCAAAATACCAGGCCACCTTGTTAACCAAACAGGCATCCAGTAAGAGACTGGCAGGGCTCAAAGCAAAAGCATTAGGCGCTGACATCATCAAATGGAAGCACTTCTGTCTAGTCTCCAGACTGACGTCCACTTGGGGTTCCTCATGTGGTCTATTACAAGTTGGGACCTTCCATGCTAAGACGCCCATCTGGCTCCCACACATAATGCTTACATTTATCAGCCTCCCAAGACACCCAGAATTGTTTTAGAACAATTGTTTTAGAACAACTCAGTGCGCAATTGTGCCCGAGTGAGTCATAATCCAAGACAACATGGACATCTGAACACACCTACGTGGACCAAATTAATGCAGCACTCATCATTAAGCACTAATGGTTCATCCTGGGGATGGGGAAGTCACTATATGCTCCAGGGACCCAGTGCTGGGCAAAGTGGTCCTGTTATAATAATCTCACACCAAGAGCTTAAGGAGAGGTGGCTGTGGAAGAAAAATGGGGAAAAAACCCCATCTGATAAGACTATGAAACTGGGGTGCAGAGGAGTAGGAGAGGCAGAACCTGGGCCAGCATTTCCAAAGTGTCTTT